TGGGACCAACCGACCACATCCATTGAGTACCAGAGTGTCAATCGCGGCGGATTGAATTACCCACCCAGTGATTTTTACACAAACAAGCAGTCCGAACCCTCCAATAGAGCCAATAAAATCCAGAATAGTGTTGATCCCAGCTTCACTTCTTCAGAAATCTACTCTGAACAGTTTGGCTTATCTAATGAGCAAACGGTCCCAAATTTCGGAGAGCCCATCAAGCTTCCCTATAAACTGCAAGAAATACAGCATCCGGACTCAAGTTCCGACATTAACAACGCAAGCCCTGATCCAACAGTATCTTATACTAACAAACCTTCGAAAGAACTGCAACGACTAGATAATGTCATGCCTTCTGCTAATCCAGAACTCGACCTCTTATATACAGATTCTATTGATGGACAGCCAGACGACATTCTGTTAAGTCCAGAAGAAGATCCCTGGATTGCGCAACAGCAGGCCCTAAGTGACATAGAGAAATGCAAAGCTCAGGATCCATATTGGCCACGAGCGGCAAGTGGCTTACTAGATCCATTTACAGAACTAGTGCAACAGGTCCTAACGACAACGTCAACTAACGAGTCCTTGTCAGGCTCAGATGCAGGCAAAACATTAGACCAAGTCAATGAGAATGGGGCAGAAAATGGAGTTGGTAGAAGTTTAGATGAGGATGAGGATGTGGAAAAATACGGTGATGAAGGCGAGGCAACTCAACAACAAAACGGTGAACTTGATAATAGTGCAGAATCCGAAGCCCCTGGTCATCCAGGCCACAATGAAAGTGGTCCTCAGTTTGCATTACCAGGTGGAAGCGGGAGCAGTGCCTCCTGGCCACAAGACAAGGTACCGCCTGGCAGCCTGCTGAACTGCATACAGCAAGTAGTTCACCAGCGGTGCCACGCCGGTGCTGCCGGCTCTAGTACGTACACTGGCCGGCATGCCTGCGAGCGCATTTGCGATGCGGTGCGCAGCCAGATGCCGGAGCTGGCAAACTCAGTTGACAAGTGTAAACAGCCTATGATAGCATGCACTCAAAAGTTCATCACCTTCCGCGCAAGAAGGGTGACAAGTGTCGGCGGGACAGAACCCTACCACCCCGTTGCCACGAGCCTATTAGACAATAATTTTCCTTCCAGACAAGGAAAA